AAACAGTTGCTGAATGAATGGACAGAGGGGCACTTGGTTACATAATGCCCCCTGGCCTTGGTAATGAACTCGCAAGGGGGGTGGTTGCTCTTTGCACAGAGTCACTTACTGAGACAACAAGTCTCAGTTGTTGGTGGAACTGGTTATAGCTCTTTGTAAAGTGTTTGTGTGGGAAGCTCAATAATGGGGCCTGGGGAAGGGACCTGGGCCACTAAGACCAGATGTGGACACAGGTGAGCCATACTCTGTGAGCTCCACTCCTCCAGGGACCCATGCTGGTGGAGAAGGGCGTGGCTGAGCAGGATAAATCCTGGGGCCACCTGCCTGACTTTCTGGGATAAGAGACAACTTTTGTGTTGTTTCCCAAGAAGTGGGCTCGGCATGGGACAAAATAAGGCATCCTGCACATGTATATAAAGTAACACGTGCAGTTACTGTAGTGGTCATAATATAGGAATTGCCCAAGTGTGGCAGGTCTAGAAGTATAGAGAGAGATGCTGTGGACGTGAATATGTGTGCAAGTGCATATGCATGTGGGATTGACAGAGGCCAAGGACGCGTGTGCAGGTGTTACCTGTATGCACAGTAACACCAGGAGCTGTCACACACCAGGAGGGGCTTAGATGCTGATCAGGATCACAGACAGATGGTCGCAGAAGCCAACCAAGGGGCTGTTAGGAGGAAAAGACAACCCCTAAGCTCTTCTCCTTTGCCTAGGTATGGGCCGCCCAGTCTTCAAAGCTCATCCTCCCAAAGGCCCACCGGCATGGTGGGCTGGGAAAGTCACTCCCTCTAAAAGTAAACAAGATCCTTGAGGGAGAAAAAGTCTTTAATTTTGCTTGAAGTTGATAACTATTGCTGAGATTTGGATGTTATCAAGAAGATAAGATTAGTGAGGGGGAGAAGATTTTAACCCCAACAGTGAAGACCAGGAAGGAGAGAGATTGTTATGTTAAACTTAGCTCGGCAGAGACCCAATGAGCCATCTTCAGATTAAGAGGCCACGTTGTAGACAAATGTGTGCTGCTCAGTCCCCACGTTAAGATGTTCCTCTGGAAGTTGGAGAGGAGGTTAGGAAGGGGCATGGAGGAATTTCAACTACAGATGCCCCTGTATGCCCAGATACTGTGTGTGGGTATGGTATAGAATCCTACAGACATGGCCTCATCTGTATCGTCATGCCATAAGGGCCCCTGGGCAAGGGCACTGAGGGCTGTCTGTCATCCTCCTGGTGTAACTGTCATGCAGCCTCTACGTACAGACCTGGGCGTGTGTGTGTATTTCTGAGTCTTGTGCACAGACACTTTCTGTGTCAGTACCGGACCAGACTGGGTGGACTCTGCACTCTTTGTTTATGGGAAATGGTTAGTCCAAAGAATATCACACAGTTTCCCCAAATCAAAAAAGTATCCAGATACAAGATGCCAACATGTGGTAGGTTAGACAGAAGGCACCTTTTGTGTGATCCTAATCACAGTGCTGGCATTGGGTGGTAGACAGTATGCTAAGGTATTTCAGGGATGACCAGGCCAAGTGTGACCCACTGGCATTACTAACGTACCCACTTACCTAGAGGAAGCACTTATTTTGAGGAGAGAAGGACAAATAATGCCTGTTCTAGGCACTTAGCTCAATGACCAAATCTCTCAGTCTAGCCAAACAGTAGGGCAAAGTTTAGATATTAACTTGTCTAAAGTGAGGCTGTGGGAGGGATTAGAGACGTGGGCCTTAACCTCTCTCAAGATGGCAGCCAAGGGACACACCCTGGACAAGGCTGGACGTGGTTCAAGATAGGCCAGGTTTGGGCTGGGTAGAGCCCTCTAGATCTCCAAGCATTCTCTAGTAGGCCCTTAGAGGGCCTGGCTGCCCCTGCCAACTCCTGGCTTTTGACGGTCCCCACCTCTTGAGCTAGTGCTGGCTGGGCTGTTTCAATTCCATCACTCTATAAACAGAGGTGTGGTAAGTGAAAGGTTGAAAAAACCCTCTCCAGCTCCCTCTGTGGGGCGGAGTAATGAGAGAAACAGGGTGAATGAAAAAGGTGGCCACAAGGCCTGATAATTCATGAACTCATCTTAGAAAAAGTGCTATACAGCTCACTGCTGAATATTACTATAAGTCACCTTTGAAGTGCTCCCTTGGAGAAGCGGTGCACTCACACCAGTGCCTGGTCTACCTTTTAAAGTAATTTTGGAACTCTTTTTCTGGAATAGCCATCAAGGTATTACGCTTGATGTCCTGAATGTCATCAAAATGTCTTCCTTTCAATATTTCCTTTATCTTTGGGTAAAGAAAAAAGTTAGGCCAGATCAGGTGAGTAGGAAGGGTCTTCCAATACAGTTATTTGTTTACTGGCTAAAAACTCCCTTATAGACAGTGCTGTGATAGTCAGTGCATTGTTGTGATGGAAAAGCCATGAGTTGTTGGTCAAGATTTTCAATTAAGATTTTTCTAACTGTTGTTTCTCTATCAATGTTTATTTGGTCTCCTATGCTTCTCAGTCAAGCTGATGATATTAACACACAGTTCAATAAAATTTTGCAATTTTTTCATCAGTTCTGCTCATTACTGGCTACCTGACCTCTCTTCATCAGTAATATTTTCTCTCCACTTGGAAAAACATTTGATCTATTTGTACACTGCCATTTTCTTCAAGGCATTATCTCCATAAACGTAGACTAACATGTCCCTGCTTTCACCTCCACTCTTTCCAAGTTGAACAAGAAACTTATAAGTGTTCATTTGTTGCTCTAATTCAAGCTCCAACATTCTCGGGACAGCACACAAAACATGTGACAATAATGACTGTCACTCAGCAAGACACCACTGCCACATGTTGACATGATGAGACACTGATACACTGAAGTCACGATCCCTTGCTGAGCTGTTTGTACTCTGCTGCCAATGTAGGGGCACAGCGGCAAGTTCATGAACTTAACTAACAAACCTTTGCATGCACTGGCTTGCTTGGGGCAGAGATGCCCAAAACATGGGTCCTCGGGCTTCAGTAGAGAAATGGCTGGGCTGGGGGTTGAGGAAGCTGACTATTGGTCTCCAGCAGACAGCACTACCACTCAGTAGGACAGGCTGGGAAGTGTAGTCCCCATGTACAGCCTTTAGGGTGGGGCAGTTTGGGGGGCAGAGGAGGAGAGTGGCCAGGTACAGCTCGTTATTTCAACTGCTCTGCTGCACAGCTTTGCCCAGCTCGGCCCCATCCCTTCCCATAAGGGCAAGAGGGGGAGAGGCATGATGTATCCTGCTCCCAGAGTTAGCAAACAGCCACTGCCACATTCCAGGGAGCAGGGAGTGCAGCCCTCAGTGGAAAAAGTGACCATTGCTCACATAGCCCTGGGAGAAGGAGGAGGCCAGGCAGCCCTTCCCCACCCTGGGCAGAGGGGCAGGCAGCACCAGGAAGCATCAGTTGGGGGGGAGGGACTGAGCCCCTTAAGAGACTCAGAGACCTGCAGAGGCCTCCAGCCCACTGCATGTCGGTGGAGAAGCCCTGCTGTCCTGGAGAGGAAAGGCAAGCTCTGGGTGGGTACTCACAAGTACCCTGCTCTGAGTCAGCCAACGGCGTCACCCTGGCCCCATTTTCCTCGACCCATTTATTCTCCTCTGCTCCCACAGACCACCCTAGAAACTCCCTTGCCAGGCCCAGAATGCTGATATTTGCTCCTGCCCCAGCTAATCCACACCCCATAGCCTTTGTTCAGCCCTTGCCCTGGCTGACCCCCCCAGTGAAAAGCTGGCACTGTCTTCCAGGACCATCCTACAGAACCACTCTGCTCCCAGGGCTCTTGATGTCCCCCCCCCGCCCCCCCCCAACTGCCCTGTTTCTATCTTCTTTCCTGGCTGCTCTGCCCCTGAGAGCCCCTCAAATTCTCTTGTCCCCAAGGCCCTAACCCTTGGTCCTCAGTCTCCTATCTTTTTGGTATCTAATCTCCCCAACTGGCCTCTAAGGTCAGGCTTCACATCACTTCTGCACGCCCTCTCACTGCGTACATGATAAATGAGTTTTAATGAACAGACAAATTAGTGGTGAAGGAAGCATGAGTGGGGGGGCACAGCAATACAGTACAACTAAGCAGTGAGTGACTTTGACCCAGGCACCCAGCCTCTCTAGGCCTCCATTTTTATCTGCAAATCAAGCACATTCAGCAAGAAAACTTGCACGACACCTCCCCCGAGATGCTGTCATTCAAATAAAACGGTAATTGCTCACAAGGCATGTGATTCCCAAACTGCGTACCAAGGCACCTTGTGGCACTGTGGTAAACTCACAGAGCTGCCACCGGATATTTTAAGTTGTCTACGGAAACACAATGATGTCCGCCTGACACCTTGAAAAATGCTCCTACTAAGTTATTTGGGCTTAACTACTTAATACATGGAACTGTGAGGGATTTCTTTTGATCTAGGGGCACCATCGAAAGAATTACAGAGACACTAAGGGTGCCACGAGTTGAGAAAGTTTGGGAACATTTCTATTAGGCTCCAAGCTCTTCAAAAGCGAGGTCCGTATATTATTTACTTCTGCATATTTGCTCCCTGCATCATAAACAAAAAGTATGGCCCTGAAGTTGGCATATAGTAGATAGAACTCAACAAACATTATTGAATGAATGAACGAATGAATGAATGAAACCAATGAAGCAGATGTGTAAAGGCAGCATTGTCACCACACACTTCCACCAGGAAACTGACAGTCACGTGTTTCTCGTCTAAACTGCTTAGCCACGCAAGGACTCCTCTCATTCCTGTCCCGCAGGAGGCAGGGCTGTTCTGATTCACTTTTAGAAATATTCACCAGTGCTCCTCTCAGCTCCCTGCCACACCCTTCCTGTCACCATGGTGATGCTACACCGAGTTTTCCTCACATCTTTGGGGAGCACTTGCTCTGTGTAACTTCTCAGCAGAAACAGACTGAGAATGTGCAATTCTCTGTTCCTCAGGCCCCATGTACATGCAAAGAGAAATAAAACAAAAAGCAGGCCGAAACGTACTCGTGGGGTCCTCTTCCTTGGAAATGTGAGGTTGAGATAGTTATTAGAAATGGATGATTTAGCCAAGCTGAGGTCAGCATTGTCTCCATAGTTTCTGCGCCAAACATCTGTTGGGAAATAACACCACAACGGAGATTTAGATCCTGGGCCCAGGAGGAATGTTATAACAGAGGCTGTCCTTGTCACAAGCTCTCTCTAAAATAATTCCCTCACCCCAAGCTAAAGATATAAACGGCACACAGATGCCCTTAAACATGCAGGGTCTGGGTGAGTGGGGTCACTACTTTGCCCCAGAACAGAGGACAGCGGTGTGAGGTATGGGCAGGCTTGGGCACAAGGACAGAGATGGCTCAAGGGGCTGGGGTCTGAGTGAGTGGGGTCACTACTTTGCCCCAGAACAGAGGACAGCAGTGTGAGGTATAGTCAGGCTTGGGTACAAGGACAGAGACGGCTCAAGGGGCTGAGCAAAGCCTCCACACAGGTCCTTACCCACAGGCCTCAGCGGGGTGCCCCGGAAGAGCTCGTAGAACTTGGACAGGTACATGACCATGCCGAGCTTGTCTGGCTCCTGTGCTGATGCCATCTCTTTGCCTGTGGTCACTGGAGGGATCCCAAACTCACGCTCAGCCACATCAAATGCCAGCTGGTTGTTCTCCACAGCGTCATCTTCATTCAAAGAGTCGAAGTTGCTAGAAAATCCAAACCAAGTAGAGAAATTCAGGGAGAGGAGGTGGGGATGGGACAAGGTGAGTGCTGCGAAGTGACACCCTGCCATCAGCAGGGGTGGGGGAGGGCAAAAGAGCAGCAACCCCAGCCCCTGTCCCCAATTCTCACCCTGGAACAGAAGGTGCTAACCCCATCCTTTCACTCAAGGAGTGATCAAATCGGGGACCATGATAGTATCAGTGCTGCGGGCCAGAAACCATCATAAAACAACTGAAATCTCTTTGGAAAATGTAGGGGCTACTTTACGTTTCAATATTTCCCTTGTATATTTTTTAAATTACAAAAGTAACATGGGTATGTTGTAAGGAAAATCAGGTTCTATATGTCATATCCCATCCCCTTCTCAAGGCAACCTCACTTCCTCAAGGCACAAAGCAATAACCCTTTGCTAAGTTTCCTGTCTTTTTGGTGGGTTTACACATGGGTGTGAGGCTATACTGCTGTTGATGTAAATATAAATACATTGTGTGTTTTGCACGTGATGATGTGTTTCCACTAACATAATCTGATCGTCCTATAGCCTTGATATAATTCCCAGTCTATAGATGGAAGAATCTAAAGCTCAGGGAAGGTACCAGGCTTGCCCAAGGGCTCACAGCTCATGGATTTTAATTCTGTAAAACCCTCCAACCAGTCTCCAGAATTAGGTCTTGCCCATCGGAGGACAGAGCTCCAAAGTACAAATGCTCAGATTTCCAGAGTGTGGCCACTGGAGGGACTGGAGAGTGCAATCACCACGCCTGAGCCAATTTTTACCCTCACGTATGAACAGCACAGGCCAAACTTTGCTGACAGAGTAATCAGTGCAACGAGGAAAGAACAAATTTAAGAAAAACACTCAAGTCTAAATCATGGGAAGAGCAATATTGAACCAAGTCCGTGAAGATCCTGCACCCAGTGGAGCAGCCTTGGCATCTCCCATCTCTGGGGTCCACGTGAGCCCCAGACTCACATCAGCTCAGGCCGGAAGTGGTGGATGATGGCACAGAGGGCCAGGCCGCTGCGCCAGGATGTGGTCAGATCGGTGACATTGACATGCTGGTAGCCCTCGGTCTGCTGCTGGCACCAGGTTAAGAGCTTGTTGGGCCGGATGTCTGACTCTGCAGGAAGGGGAGGCAGGCGGTGAGGCTCTGGGGAAATCTCAGGGAGCTCATCCTGGGGATTCCCCCCCACTGCTGTCATGGCTGGGGACCAAGAGAAGTGGCAGCCAGGTGAGGGGCCAGCACAGGAGCTATTGGTGTGGGTACAGTCCCCAAGTGCTGCCGCCTGGGGGCGGGGTGGAGAGGGGTGTGGGAGCGCAGGATGCTTGGACAGGAAGCATGGTCTCTGGTAGCAGAGTCCCTACAGCTGCTGTGGCCAGGCTCCCGGTGAGACACTAGGAGCACAGACTCTGCGACAACACGCTCATCTAGCGGGGAGGTCAGACAGAGACGGGGGAGATGATGACACGGTGCTGCAATGGAGCGGAAAACAGGGTGCCGTGAGAGCATGCAAGCAGCTTTGCCTGGGTTTGTCCCTCAGGAGAGCTCTCCGAAATAGTGACAGAGAGCGGGAGGGGTTTGAGCTGGTTTTTGAAGTGTCTAGGAATTCATCATTCTAGGAAGACAGAAAGGACTGTGCAGTGGTAAAGAATCTAGGAAACCCTGCCATGTCTGTGTGGCCCTGAGATGGTGTATTACACGTGTAGTGGAAGGGCATACGGGGTGTGGGGGCAGGGAGGAGCACAGCTGAGCATGCCTGGGGGAGGGGAGGACGCCAGGGCTGGATGGGGGCAGGGGCCAGAGGGGTCTGTAGGCAGGGCAGGGCCCTGAGCAGATCAGGGTGCCTGGGGGTTACTCGCTAGCCATTCTCTCCCCCTGCTGCTGAGCACTGGGCCCAGGAGGGTCAGCTGAAGAGTGGCATACATGAAGCTTGTTATCCAGTTGGGAAAACAAGACGGCCATCCTAAAAATATCAGTGAAATGAAAACAAGTCCCACCGAAGGAACTGGCTGGTTCACCTTTGCTGTGCTGAGCTCTCAGCAGGTATTAACTCCATCAGTCCTCACAGTGACTCCCTGGGCCGTTGTTATCTTAGTCTCACAGAAGAGGAAACTGGAGTGCAGAGAGGAGAACTCCCTGCCCAAGCTCTCCTAAACTCTCAAACTTAGCTGGTTATAATAAGAATTATAACTTTATAAAACTGTACAGCTGAAAATAGAGGCTCATAAGAATAAAGTTATAACATGTTATAAAAGGTGGCCAAGGCTTGGTGCCCATAGCTCAGTGGGTAGGGTGCCGGCCACATACACCAAGGCTGGCGGGTTCAAACCCAACCTGGGCCTGGTAAACAACAATGACAACTGCAACAAAAAATAGCTGGGCCTGTGGTGGGTACCTGTAGACCGAGCTACTTGGGAGGCTAAGGAAAGAGAATCACTTAAGTCCAAGAGTTTGCTATGAGCTGTGATGCCACAGCACTCTACTGAGGTCAACATAGTGAGACTCTGTCTCAAAAAAAAAAGTGACCATAAAGTTCATGTGCAATTTAAAATCACACAAGAACTTTACAGCCACCTGTATTTAAGTCACTTTCAGACAAGGAGGAAATCATCTCCTTCAAAGCAAAAGGGAAGGGAAGGGGAGGGGAGGGGACGGCAAGAGCAGAGCAGGGCTGGCTGTAGAGCCTGTGTCATGACAGCCACCACTGGGCAGGCCTCCTCCCTGCAAAGCACCCCCTCGCCACCTGGCCAGGGCCCAGGAAGGCCACTTACCCCTCCTGGAGAGGCTGATGGATCTCCTCAAGGAACCCTGTCTCTGGAGAGGGCAGTGGTCCAGCTCCTTCGTGATGAATAAATGCTTTACCTACGAGCAAGAGAGACATGCTTATCTATTAGTTCCCCCAGATCCTTGCCTCAGGGCCTCTAAACTCAGTACCGGTCACCTTTCTCCCTTGCTAAGGGCACAAGTCATAGAGAGAAGGACCTCACCACCCACCCAAACGTGGAGAGCCAAGAGTGAATGTATGTGACTAATTTGTGTGTGTGTAATTGGCTCAATTTTAAACTTCACACCTTTCTCTAATTCTATTGACCAACAACACTGGGGGTTTGAGGGCTCTGAGTCAGTGGGAGAAAAAAATGATCTCCAGGAGAGGAGAGGGAAGGCTTGGCTGAGTAGATTATTTGAGAGAGGTTTGATCAGCAAGGCATATGCACAGTGACAAATTGACACATGAAAATATGTGCACAGATTTATCCCCAGGAGCTCTAGTTATCCCCTGAGGGCAATGAAGAATGCTGCCTGTACCGGGGAGAAGAACTGGTCCTGCCCTCAGTCCCGGGAATTAGCCAGAATTTATGTGATATGACCCCCTTCCTACCGTTCAGAGCACAGTGACCCAGACAGCGCCTGGAGGTGGACTTGCCTGGTGGGGCCTGACACAGTTTGAGTTGAGGTTTGGGTACCGGGTCCCTGGGTCCAGCGTGTACTGCTCAAAGTTCTTGTTGATGTTCTCTGGGGTCGTCTGAGGTAACAGCCGGTAAAGACTTTCTCTGGAGGGAGGCAGAGCCCAGAGGTCAGGCCTTGCCATCTCAGGCCTCAGCCTCCCCTCACTCCCATTGCCCAGGTTCAAGGGCTTCTTGGATGTGTTTGTATAAACCCTTCCCTGAGATGGCTGACACTTGTGGTTCTTCAGATCTGCAAAGTTGGGGCATGGTCAAAGGAGCTGAGAGGAGGGGGTTTCTTAGTGGTGGGAATGCAGGCCTCCTGCCCTGGCTGAGACAGGGGTGCAGGGCTGGTGGCATGACCAATGGTTTGCCTGTAACCACAAGGAGTCATGCTGCCTCCTGTAGCCTTTCCCCATGACCACAGGCCTCTACACCCAAAACTGTCCGAGGGCTGCTGCCATCCGCCAGCTCTGACGTCTTCACCTATCAGTTGTCACAGGCACGTGGCCAGCAGCAGGGGTCTGGGAGGAAGCCCAGGATCTCAGCAGAGGGAGAGGCCTGGGAGGTCAGAGAACTCAACTGCCATTCAGGGCAGGACACTCAGCCCTGCCTTGGAAGACTTCCTTAAAACCTCTGGCTCCTGAGTGAGTAAGCAATGTTGGGGAGCCCCATCTCAAGCCGCCCCCATACAAAGGCTTCTCTGGCATCTGGGGCCTGAGAGCGGGATTGGAGAAGGGGGTTGTGATGAAGAAATTGTCCTTGGAGACCCTGGTGATCGAATTAGGCCACACAAGGGAAGGCAGACTGGAGGGGCAGAAGCTCTAGGAATATCCAAGAGTCACCTGGTCACCTGACAGGTGATCTTATCCTTTCTCCTGCCTGAGCCTTTGACATGGCCCTGCCCAGGTAGGAGCCCTGTAGTCAGAACTCACCTCTCAGCCAGCAGGTCCAGGGGAGAGCAACCCTGGCTCCAGCTCTTCACCATCCATGCCGTGTCAAAGGCTGCCAGGAAGCCACGGGCACACCCTGTGCCCATGGGCCAAAATGGCTACGAAAGAAAATGTGCAAAACTCTATGATTCTATGATCTCCCACTGTTCCCAGCACACACTGATGGCCAGGCCTATGCCAGGCACTGGAGGGACAGAGAAGTGATAGGGCAGGAATCTTGCTAGCTACAAGTATTCACCATAAGCTCAAACAGCTGTAGCACAAAGCCAAATGTAAAGGGTGTCATGACATAGGTACCACAAGACTATTCTAGGCTCCCATCCTGGGAGAGGGAGATGGAAGTTAGATAGAAGAGCCCACGGGTCAGGAGCAGTTGTTCACACCTGCAATCCCAGCACTTTGGGAGGCCAAGGTGGGAGGATCGAGTAAGGCCAGGAATTTAAGAACAGCCTGAGCAACACAGTAGACCTTGTCTCTATAAAAAAGAGAAAAATTAGCCAGGTATTGTGGTGGTACCTGTAGTCTCAGCTACTAGGGAGGCTGAGGCAGGGGAATCACTTAAGCCCAGGAGTTTGGGGCTGTAGTGAGTTATGATCAGGCCACTGCACACCTGGGCAACAGAGCAAGACCCTGTTACAAGGGAAAAAAGAGAGAGCTGCATTTAACCAGTTTCGAACAATGGATAGCATTCTGACCTTAATCCATTAAAGAATAGTGTGAACAAAGGCACGGTGGCTGGAAAATGCAGGAGCCCGAAGGAAGAATAGCCACCTGGTTTGGGTGTAACATAGAGCACAGGAGTGTGGAGGGAGGAGCCAAGCTTTGCAGAGCAGGGAGGGTGCTGAATGCCTCACCAAGGAGTTTCCCTTCCAGTCCATGCAAAACAGTGCCCAAAGGCTAGTTCATTGCTAAGTGCTAACTAACTTCCAGTGTAAGTAGGGTTTGGAATTTGTCTTTTAACTTGGGATAAATACATTAACATCTTTGATCAGTGCTTAATGCGTTAAGGATACAAATCTATCCCTTCTGAAAATATTTAATCTAAGAGTCCTTGCACTTGCAGATTTTCTGGACTTCAGGGTCTACACACTTCTTTTGCATTTTACATAATTTTCTGGTCAATAGGACACAAAGGGCCACACACATGAGGAGGAAGCCTTGGGCCAGCTGACGGCCTGCCCACTCTGAGAAAAACAGCCCTCGTGGTCCAGACCAGGGCTGCCTAACTTTGTACTTCAACAAGGAAGTCAGTGAAAAGAACCAGGGGTGGAGGAGAAGGCTCTCCCACCTACACACTGGCAGAAAGGGATCCTCTGAAGTTAGCAGGGCAGGCTCAGAGGCCAGGATGGGCTCGGCAGAGTCCTGCCACCTGCCTGAGAGCCTGTCTTTCCCCTGCTGCATGAGGGCAGATCCTGCCTGCCAGAACATAAACGCAGGTAGTATCTGCCCTCAGGCAGCAGAGGAAATGAAGGGGGCTCCCTGCACAGAAATGAAGCAGAAATGAAGGGGGCTCCCTGCACAGGCAGTACCTCGAGTAAGCTGTCACCCACGAGGGCTACAAGCAGCTGGTGTGCCTGCCGCTCCCGCACCAGGGCTGCATTCTCTGAAGCGTACATGGAGGTGAAGTCAAACATGGCCACGTCGGGCTGCCCGTAGTGGTTCCTGGCAAAGTCTAAGCATGGCAGCTTGTAGTTAGTAGCGAAGTCCGCAGCTTCCCGGGCATAGGAGAGCAGGTTATCTTGGTTCACGTTCTCCGCACACAGCAACATCTCTGTGTCGATGTAGTCCTGGGGAAGAAAAAAACACGGTGAGGCAACCTGCCCTCCCTGGGGCTACTGCGCAGACCTACTTGGCAAAAGGACTTGGGATGGGTCTGTACAGTGAGGCTAATCAAAGCAAAAACAGAAAATCGGAGCCAACGTAACAGAGGAAGCCAGCTGTGAGGGTTAACATGAGTGTGATTAAGCATCAAATTTAGTGTTGAGCTTCCCGGCATCCAGGGCAAAAGGGAAATGTGATATGTCACAGGGCTTTCCTTATCAGAAAGAAGGAAGCATAGAAATTCCTCAGGGGAGGCAATTTTTTCCTGGCACTAGATTCTAAAAGATCTGTCTCATGTAGGAATTTCAATAGAGAACACTGAGAGTTGTAATGAACAGTGTCCTTGATAATGGTTTTGGAGCAAGCAATGAGCACATTTCCCATGGCTGGTTCTCGTGGCAACTTCCAATACAGTTAAGAGATAAAGGGCAAATCGGTAAGTGCGACTTTGTAATGAACTGAGCTAAGCTAATGTGGTCCAGATACGCTGTGTTTAGTGTTCAAACAAGACCAAGAAGAAAACAGGCACTCAGCAGAACTCGGATTTTTCTCTCCAGAATCAGTGACCTCTTTTCTTGACAGACCGAGGGCTGCTCAAAGCCTGGCTTTGGTCTTGGTGTTGACTGTCGTACTGCCCTGCTGGAGGTGGAGAACCCTGGGTCAGAGGTCTAGGAAATCCATCCTGCAGGGAGAGTGGCAATGAAGCCCAGGACGTCAGGGATTGAAGAAAGCAAGAACATTCGGAGCACCCCAAGTCCACGCTGCTCATTGTGTGGCTAAAGAAACTAAAGAAACCACCTTTCTCAAAGGTGACACAAAAATCACAGATACCTGGGGGTGGGAGGCAATTTTTCCTGGCACTAAATTCTAAAAGATCTGTGCCATGTAAGAATTTCAACAGAGAATACAGATTTTAGAGTCCGCCATGGCAATGGTTCTACCTCTGCTGCTTGTTAGTTACAAATTTGGGCAAGTTATTTCACTTTTCTGAGTCTCCATTTTCTCAATTGTAAAATGGTTATCACCAAATCTACTTGACAAAATCTGCTCAGGAGGATGGCATGAGACTGTATGTGTGAAATCTCTAACTCCTTGCCTATATGTGGGAAGTGCTCCATGAACCGCAATTCCTGTCCCCAGTAATTCACGATGGCACAAAACATAGTGTAGCTGGAGCACAGCCTAGATCCACCCAAGGCACCACCACTGAGAGGTCTTAAAGGAATAGTTTCATCCACAGCCACCTATTGTCTCAATTTCCTGAATTGCCATGATTTCAAATACCCTGTTCTGGAAATTCTAAAATTGCATCCAAACCATATCACCCACATTGTGCCCAGCATTGGCCTCAGAGCCCTTTGTCAGGTCCTGGGGTCCAGAACAGGGGACCTGTTACCTGGTGTTCTTTCTGATCCCTGTTGCTACAGTCAGAGGCTCCTCCCCTCCCTGGAGGTGTGCCGAGAGATGGGGGATGAGTGAGTGGGAGGTCTCCAACACACCCCTCCTCAAAACAACATCCCTGAAGGGTAACATTAAAATGCCTGGTGTTGAGGCCTGCCTGGGAGTGTGGAGAACTGGCAAAGGGGGCAGGCCTCTGGCTGGGCCTCGATCTGAGCCCATATGATCTGGGGCTCCTGTGCGGCTTTTGAGGGGGTCCCAGGCAAATGGGTGGACAGCAGGAGGCACTGAACCACAGGGACAGGGTGAGATCAGGTTGAGAGGGACAAATGTGGGGGAAAGAGACAGGAAACAGGGTTCTAAGTGAAGCAGGCAGGCCCAGGAGTCATCCTGCATTAAAACGGAGGAGGGATGGGAATGCAACTGGGCCTACTCACCTCAGGCCTGTGGTACAGAGAGGTGGGCAGTGGAGAGGGAAGCAGTGAAAATGAGCACGAGAAGAGCAGCCTCCCCAAATGTTACTCTGGGGAGAGGCTGAAGTTGGCAGAGTGATGCCCATATGCTCCACATGGGGGTTGGAGGGCACAGCAGTGGGAGGCCGCAGGTCAGGCACCTGTCCCCTGCCTCACCCATCAAGCAGCCAAGCTTCCCCCATTGTGCCTAGAGCAGGCCTGCTGGCCCAGGAATCCCAGCCTATACATGAGTGGCCAGCAAAGGCAGGGTCCCAGGAAGACTCTGGGATGAGTCATCCTCCCAGTGGTGAACAGAAACATAGACACAGCTAGGAGCCCGCAGGTATTCTGGTTTCTGGAGAAGAAACTTTATTCCCCCTTCATCAACCATTCAAAGAAACCCAGAGAGTAGCTGGAATAGATGGGAAGCAGGAAAGGGGAACTTCTTATTCATAGGTCAGTCAGTCATTCAACAAACATTCACTCAGCACCCTCTGTTGCGCCTGTAGGAAGATGCTGACCCATTTAGGGAGAGGATTTGACATTCTCTTGGGTAGCAAGAGAAGAATGTAAGTTTAAGTGGCTCAGAGTAGATGGGCCAGGCAAATGCTACAGAGTGTGGCTGGGAGCTCAGGCCACCGCTTCTGGTCCAAATAGGCTCCCCCATGTCCAGCCTAAGGCCTCCACTTTCTATAAGAGAGTTCCTATTTTGTACCTCGAGACCCTTCAGTGCCAGCTCAGGGGATGCCCCTCAGTCCTCTAAGGGAGAGGCAAAGTACTTGGTGAGGACACCCAGGGGCCTGGAGGGGCTCTGGCACTACCAAGAAACCAAGTATTCATGAGAACATGTCACTGCCTGGCGAACGGCCGAGGAGACCGTCACATCCCAGGAGGCTGGGGTAACATGAAACATGAAACCCATTAGACTTCGCCTGCCTGCCCGGCCCCACCTCTGCCAAGTGCCCACTGCCCTTGCACCCTCTGACATAGGCAGCGCCTTCGGGAGGGAGGGATGCTTGTGGGGCAGAAGGAAAAGGGGCTCCCTCTCCCCCAGACTGGCCAGTTGGCAGGAGGGCACCATATGTCAAAGCCTATGGCCCATAGCGGGTGGGGGGTGCCTGTCAGCTTCACCCAGCCCATGTCCACTGTCTCCACTCACAAGCCAGGCTCTCAACAAAGACCTGAGCTGAGGTGGAGCCACCCAGGGGAAGGCCGGTTACTAATGTTGCCCACTGGCTGCCAGCGCATGCAGGCGAGAAGCTAGCCGCATTCTTCTCTGATGAGCAGTGAAGAATGGTCTCCATGCCGCACGTCTGCAGCAGGCTGACCTGGGGCTGCACGATCCTTATCTCCAGGATGCAGCAACAGTGGCCGTGATAGCAGGGGCTCTGGAAGGGCTGAAAACCTGACCAGAGATGCTTCCAGCCAGGGCCCCCCACACTGCGTGTTTCTTCTTTCCAGCCTTGTCTACGTTGAAGCATGAAGAAGCAAAGCCCCGAACTAGAAGCCGGGGAGCCAGCAGGACAGAAAAGCAGGTGTCCAGACAAGGCTGAGAAGTTACAGAGGGACTCTACAAAGCCACCACGTGCCAGCACTGTGCTCGGTGCCGTGTGTGTATGTGTGCACGTGTACATGTATGTGTATGTTGTGTGTATGTTTTTTTTGTTTTGTTTTGGATTTTTTTTGTTTTTTTGAGACAGAGCCTCAAGCTGTCACCCTGGGTAGAGTGCCGTGCCATCACAGCTCACAGCAACCTCCAACTCCTGGGCTTAAGCGATCCTCTTGCCTTAGCCTGCCAAATAGCTGGGACTACAGGTGCCCTCCACAACGCCCGGCTATTTCTTGGTTGCCGCCATCATTGTTGTTTGGAGGGCCCAGGCTGGATTCAAACCCGCCAGCTCAGGTGTATGTGGCTGGCGCCTTAGCTGCTTGAGCCACAGGTGCCGAGCCAGTGTGGGTAAGTTTTTATCTGCTCCTTCTGAGAACGCTTTCAGAAGTAAACTGTCTTTCCCATTTTGTAGATGACACAACTGAGGTTCACCCTATCAATCTTGAGTTAGTACGTGGCTTGCGACTTTCTGACTGTGTGAAAAGCTAGTTTCTCCCCATACCATGATGAAGGTTCACAGGGATGAAATTCACAGGTGAAAGCATCTCTATGTCCCACTAGGACAAAAAGGCTTTACCTGCCTCCAAATGACATGTGACCTCCCAGAGGAGGGCAGGGCTGAATGGGTCTCGGGCAGGGAAGGGCTTAGCTGATGTATGTTAACCCCACCAGGTACCCTCTGCAGAGACCTCTCTGCGTGAACTGATGTGGACTTCTTTACCTAACACTCGTACAACCTCAGGGAAGGGAAGGTGGTGGGCTGGGGGTCCCTTCCCTCTTTTCCCTTTGCTCAGTTTCTGGTAGGAAACTGCTCCCACAACTGCGGATGCAGCCAGCCGGGTCACAAAGGGAAAGACAGCTGGGAAACCCCAGCCAAGAGGTACGTACGTTTTTGATGACACCTTTGTCCAGCAGGCTCTGCTTCTTGGCTGTCATGACAAAATAGTGGGTGCAGTCCTTATAGTAAACAATGTTCTCGAGGTCAATCCCTGAAAAGAGAAGCGTTCGCGGACTCAGTATTTCTTGCTTGTGCCAACTGGGCCCCTGAACCCGTACTTTGCCTCATTACAGGTCTCATTATTTATCCACAGCATATTCAGGTGAGACAAGTTTTTAAGACATGCAATGCTAGAAAAGAGAAAATAAAGTGCCGGAATGTACCCAAGTCAAGCAGCTAGCTTTTATTGTCCCATAAAGACATTTCTTTTAAAATGCACAATGTGTGTAGGGAGTATAGACCCGTATTTCTAAGGTAGGGCTGGGTAATTGTTACAGAAAGGCCAAGGGCCGGCCATGGTTATGGCATCTAAGCAACAACACGGCTGGGATCTGACTCTAAGTCCTGTTCACTGTGCCCACAGCTGCCTGGAGCTTCAAGAATTCTCCAAAGATTATGCGAAAGAATCTTTCTACCATTTTCCTATTTACATGTAAAAACCCAAGTGGGGGTGGAACAAGGAACAACTCAGGTTATGCGACCAGGTTGTATTTTACTGCACTTTCCACCAACTGCAAAACATTTTGCAAACTAGTTTTCTGCATTTAAAACCAAGCTGTGCCAGGCGTTTAGCTCTCTGGTTCTCAAAGGGTGGTCTCTGGCCAACAAGAGCGGCAGCCATGGAGAGCTTACTAGAAATGCAAATTATCAAGGCCCCACCCCAGACCTATGGAATCAAAACCCTGGGGACAGAGCCAGAATTCTGTGTTTTAACCAGTTCTCCAGGTGGGCTGAGTCACCTGCAAGTTTGAGGGTGACGCCTCAGCTTATTGGAAGGGAGAGAGGAAAAGACACAGGGCAGGGGGACAAGCCAGCATTCAACACAAGGCGTGCTGGGTTACCATAGAAACAGCTTTATTACAGCTAAATAGGAAACAGCCATCAGTGCAGAGGGCCCCCAGGAGAGTCAGAGGAAATTCACAGCTGTCACTGTGTGAGGGCCCCGCTGTGAAACAATGGCTAAAGGTGACAACCACAGTGAGCTTAAAGGAAACTCTTGGAAACATGTGGGAAAACACACTCAATGTCCTGTCATAATTTATATTTGGTGGTGTATTTGTGTTCTTAGTTTTTGAAGGGGAAGGAGGGTTGGAGAACTCTTAAATCATTCAAAAACAGTATATGCTGGGAGGAAAGATTAAAACTTTTTTTTTTTTTT